ATTTTTGTTTGTATGATATGCATTTCAAGCTGTTAAGTGATTTTACATATTTAGAGAGGTGAAAGGTATATAAAGAAGAGGAAGTCTTAAAAAGCTATTTGAATCTCATAAGCAGTTTCCTAAAATTTGTTGAGAGTCAGGAAGAAATCTATTAAATATATCAATCAGATTTAGTTGAAACTAAAGTGTCTTTTAATGTTTAAAGAAACTAGATTAAAAATGACCCTTCATAGAAGGGTAGCAGTCAAGAAGCTCTTTCTACACAGAAGAAATGGTGAGAAGAGATTAAATGTAAATATTGTTCTAACAATCAATAAAAAATGAACTTTATAGTAATGAATCTATTTTAAATATTTGTATCTAAATGTTTTTCATTGATAAAAAGTTGTAGGGAGGTAGGATTTACAGCCTTCAGTGGAGCATAGAGGTGGTTCTGTTAGGGTGCATTTTAGTCAGTATTGTTGAAGATCTATTGCTAGGATTGACAAACAGATTTTTATCTATGCTATTCCTTCTGGGCTGTCATTGGCTTTAGTTGTGTTTGGGATCAGTGTCAACTAAATTTGTTATAAGAATCATTCCATGTCAAATTAGCAAGGGTCTGACCATCACCGACACAGATTTGTTTTTCAAATTTGGTACACTTATAGTTTCATGATAGATATTAAATGGTACCTATTTTACATCTCTTGGTCAAAGGTTTTCCGAGATATGACCCTTTGAACCTTGCCAAAAAGGCAAATTTTGGAAAATAATCACTAAGTTTAAATATCAATATCTCAGTTGTTTTTTACCTACAAAGCTAAATTATATACCATTTTAAAGTATTTGGGTAGATCTAAAAGGTGACCTATTTAATTTTTTTGTTTAAAGGCCAAACAAAATAATTATACTTTGAGCTTAAACTTTGACCTATAATTTCTCAAACAGTTCTTCAATATTTTTTTTTTTTAACTTTGACAACAAATTTGTCTCCTTCATGGCAAGATATGTACAAAATTTTGTAGTGGACTTTTGGCTGTGGCAAGGGTTTTACAGAGTTGGGCCAAATTCAAAATGGTGCTATATGCTATCATTTTCATATCATCCAATATGGTCAAGTTTTATTATTTAAAAAAGTGTCATGAATTAATGTTAAGACAACATAAAATAATATGAAAATATGCAACAAATGATGTTAATGGCTAACAAATATTTGTTGACATTTGACATTGTACTCTAAATATACAAAAAAATCAAATTTTCAGGTTTTTTTTTATATATTTAAAAAAATCAAGATTGATCTGAAATAGTAGTACATTAAAATGAATATTTAAAAAAGATTCTTAACATTTGCAAAGAGATTAAAAGGCAAACCAATTGTCAAATAAAATTTCCAGCATTATGTGAGTTTTCTGAAAGTACTTCAACATCAGCTGAAGACCAACCACATTCTTCTAGCATTTTTATAGATACTGAAAATGAATTGCAACTTCTTAATGAGTCACTGTCAATGATTGGTGAATCACCAGTCAAGTGTCAAAAACTTGAAACACAAACCAGTTATGAGGAATAAAAAGTAGGAAAAATTAAAGGAGCAGTATGAAAGAAAATTAAATTGATTTTGAGTAAAATTTCTCACCAAGAATCTACCAGTGTAGAAGAGCACAGAAAAATCTGATGAAAGTGAAATTATTACACATAAGAAAAGATTTCAGCTTGTGAAAAGAGGTCCCAAAAAGTACAAATTTTGACAATCCTTTCAAAAAGCTGGAGTATCCAAAGAATTCAAATGGCATTTGGCACCACAACATATATGGCAAAACAAACCAAAAACTTGAAAATGAAAAGTGACTATTTTCCAAAATTTGCCTTTTTGACAAGGGTCTTATCTCAGGGACCCTTTGACCTAGAGATGTAAAATAGGTACCATTCAATTTCTATCATGAATTTCTATAAGTGTACCAAATTAGAAAAAAATCTGTCAGTGATGGTCAGACCCTTGATGATTTGACATGGAATGACTCATAAATGATCCATGCACTAAGGTATTTGAAGTGTTTAGTATTTATTAATTCAACATCTTGAATCTTTATGATATATTCAGACTATATGCTATCACTGCTTTCATTCCAGTTCCAGATAATAGTTTCTGTTTTGGAAAAGTTTACCCTAATCTCTATTTATGGAAGATTTGGTATAGGATTTTCATTTTTTGTTTAAAATCATACTTATTCCAACTATGAATACCTATGTCATCGATACCTAACCAAAAAACACCCTACCCCCACCCCCACCCCAGTATCAGTACATAGGTCTTGGGAGCGAAAGCAGGAATGCTATTTACTCCTGGTAGATTCATTTGAGATGTGGTATGAATTGCTTAAATTACCAGTACTCATCTCTTAACATTTCTGCTTGTATATGCACAAAGCATAGTCTAGGAAGAGATTAAATACATTTCCTCCATGTCATACTCCTGATGAGGTTTGAAATGTTTCAGTATTGGGGTCTTCATCAGACATGTACAACTTTATCAAAACTAGACAGTGAATTTGGATCTTGGGAGATAGTTTCTAATGGAGTTGTTTGATGACATATATGCCATTATTAGACTCAGTTGCAGAATGAGAGCCAAATTGGTTTGTGAGGAGTTGATTTTTATAGAACAGTAAGAACCTAGTTAATATAATGTTTATTTCACCATAATGGATCCAATTGAGATACCTCTATATTTGAAGATCTTGAGGACTTTTTATTTTCATAGTGCATTAATGCACAATATACGCCACTGCTTTGGGAATCACTTCTGATTCCAGACTTCTTACATGAGACTGAGAAAGTTGTTTTTAAATTTCTGGTGGTTGTACGCTATTTTGAAAAATTCAGCCTCTATATATATATATATATATATATATATATATATATATATCCTGAAAAAATTATTTTAGTTGAGTTTTTCGGGTAGAAAAGTGAATTCGAAAACAGTGACTATTACTGCTGCTAATGCAAGACTCTGTTAAGACAAATTGAGTTCTCTGGTCACTGGCGTGTTTGTCTGAAAATAAATATGTTTAAATTCACCTTCATCCCTGTCGTGCACCAATGGCTTAGGAGTAAAATCTCCGACTGATACAAAATCAGTTGGGTTTCGATCCTGGCTTGAAGCAATCGGATGTCTAGCCACACTGATGAGGTGCGAAACAGTCTGTCTGTGGATGACACACACACACACATATATACATACATATATATATATATATATATATACACACACACACACACACACATATATATATATATATATATATATATATATATATATACACACACATGTATATCATACTTATTATAAAACCCAGATTGTGTGTGTCTGTTCGTTTATATATTGGATAGGATTTCCTACATTTTTCAACCGATTTCAACAAAACTTCACAGGACTATGTAAAATTACCTTGTGGTGGTTCTGACAGCGCCAAAAATTGGAAAAACAATTGTTTTTGCACAAAATCAATTTGAAAACACAATTAAGAGGCATCGCAAGAATGAAAGGGGGACAACTCATATAGAGTTATACTTATAAAACCCAGGTTGTGTATGGGATCGGATTTCCTACATTTTTCAACCGATTTCAACAAAACTTCACTTTTTTTTCTTTTTTTTTTTGACAGGTAGTGTTTCTTATTGTCTTGCACACTTTTTTCTTTATTTTTACATTCAGAATACTTTTATAAATTCCATTTACAAGACAATTGTTTATAATAAAATTCTATTCAATCAGTAGACTCATAACGATTGACATGCGTGTCTGTCAACCTTAAACAATAATCTTTGTCAATTTTATTTTTCAGTCTTTATGATGGTCGATACTTGATCTATCCCTTACTGTTACATCCCCGGGCACATATATATATATATATATATATATATATATATATATATATATATATATATATATAATGTATGACAAAGTGGGAAAAAGTTTTGTGACACGTTTCAGCCTTTAGGACTTCATTGGATAAAATTTGTTAATGTTGGTGCAACTACACATGAATGAGGGATGCTGGGAATTTTAAATTTAATTTATTTTTTTTTTCTGAGCTGATTTCATTTAGATTCTTTTTCTTTCTGTTACTTTTGTTATTAGCTATCCCACACTGTGATAATAGAAGATCTGCTAGGAATGGTGAAATGTTGTAAGAACCAGGCTGCAAATTTATTGTGCCTTGTGATCAAGTTACTTTGTAAACATTTTCATCTTAGTGAATTGTTTTCTCTTTTGATCAGAGTATCATTTTTTTATGTTAATATTGTGGTCAGTCTCATTATGGTGAGCAACTAATGATTAGTCAATACTAAACAAAACAATAAGCTAAAACTTGAAGGAGGAATTTACTCGATTGCCTGTAATAATTCTCACAAAAATACATGGGAGAAACTACAAGGAATCTAAATAAATGATTATATGAACACAGGGACATTTTACAAAACAACAGATCAAATGCATCCTTCAGTTATTTATTCATCTGATTGTTTTATCATAGGGTTAGTCATATTGCTTCCTAAATCTGAAGGAATCTTTACTCTGAGTTATTATTATTGGTCTTTAATTTGATTTAAAGGACTTGGAATTTTGCTGAAGTTGATTTTTCAAATGTATCAGTTTTTAACCACTATCAGTGAACTGTTATGTAAATGGCTTAAATTTTCATTTTTTTAAACTATGCTTAACATTAAAATTTCAATTAAATAGTTCACTTGTAAATTTGTTTAATTGCATTTTTATATATGCCTTTAGCTAGTTGCATATAACTTGATCACATTTTTATTCTTTTTCTTATTGGCAATCTTTAACCTCTGGTTCTGATAAGCTCTTGTGTTAAGATGTTTTTTTATGGTGGTATCTAAAGTCACTTATTATTTATTCTGTTTCCTTGATTTAACCTCCTGTTAATTTATATTAATTCTTTTTTTTTTTTTCATAGGTGTAATAATTAAAGGTACCTGCTGCTGTGGCTGTGATGGAAGCTCAGGACATTGTGTCATGGGTAGCAACAGTGTGCACCATTGGAGTGTCACTTGTTGGACTGTAAGTATTAAGCTTACTACAAATCATTTTTCTAATTGATTTGTAATCTTATCAGTGTTAGTAACCTGTCCAAGGTGTCCTCACTTTGTTATTGGAATCAAGAGTTTATATCTTGAAATAAAAAGGTGGTATGCATGTGTGAATGAACCAGAGCTCTTTCTGATTGTCAGACTCTTCTACAGCCTCTGGAAAAATTTGCCTGTCCTGCATGTGTCTTGCTAATCATTGGCAGATCTGCAACAGATGTGGAGTTCCATCCCAAATCTTCATTCACAAAAACAAACCATAATTATTTATATCTAACAGAAAAAGTTTTCTAATTTCTGTTCACCTGGTTATACATTTTGATTATCTTAACTTTTTTTTTTAATTAACATTTAATAGTTTTATAAAGTTTTTTTTCTCAAATTATTGAACTGAGATTATTTCATAATATTTTTTATTAGTTCAGTAACATTCCAAACTATTGACTTATATTTGTTTATATTGCAAGTATAGATTTACATTAATATATTATATTTTACTTTTTGTTCTATGATTTTCTTATATATAGAGGCTTTTATGATCTTTTCTATTAATTTTTGTAATTTTAATAATATTAAATTTAAAAATTAAATGAATATATTGAATGAAAATACAAGGCTCATCAAGTAAAGATTTTGTTTAACTTACTTGACTGTTGAGTTTACACTCACTGTCCACTGGTAATCTCAAAATGAAGGAAGAAACATTTTTTTGTCATCTCAAGTATAATATCAGAATTATTATTTGGTGCTGTGTTACTGAAAGTAATAGATACATAACATACATATATGAGATAAGCAGCACACCTTACTAGAACAGGAAATTACATAAGCAGTTATTCTACAGAGAGTTACTAGGTGGTAAACATCTGAAACAAAAACCACAAAAACAATCTTAAAATTGGTATTGAAGCTGAGGCCATGATAATATTGATAGAAAATCAATCTGTGTGGAGGAAAATGGTAAACAATAGTTGGAAGGCATTCAAGGAAAAGAGGGTTGATTATGTAATCATGAAATGAGCTCTTAGAAAGCAGTACATGACTTCAATTCCAGATAATTTCCAGCCTGAGCATGCATGTAACATCTGTGGTTGGGTTTTCTTATTCAAAGCAACACTTGCTAATCATCTTAGGTCTCATGATGATAAACAATTCCAAGCAGACTATGTTGACAGCCACCTTCAATTATTTACACAAAATATATATCAGTTCTGAGACAAAGTATGTGAGTCAGTAGTATGTCTGAAGAGTCAGATGAGAATGAATAAAGGTTCAATAAAATACACGAGTCATTTGCCTACCATATATGAAGGTAAACTTGCAGAAATGAAGTGGACCTTTTGAGTCACTTTTGTGCACTTTGCTGTTCAATCCAAAATTGAAGAGATGACTTTTGCTAAGAAGGCAATCACACACACACACATATATATATATATATATATATATATATATATATATATATATATATATATATATATATTTGTATTTTATAGCAAAGAATTTAAAATAGAAACCAATAGAATAGAGGTTGTGTGTCGGTTACCTATGGTTTCCCATTACTGCTGTAAATTATCCATAAACTTTAATCAAAATCAGAAGAATAAATATAGACACAAAGATAGAAATGTTGATCCTCATTTATGCACACGGTGTTATATATTTTATAGTTTATATAAGGAATCTATATTCTATATTGACAAGTTTCCTGTAAAATCCTTTAGTATTGGTGTTATTTTCATTTCAGTGAAATCTGTGCCAAAATTGCACGTAAAGGGAGTCCTGGTGATATTTCATTCATTCCATTCCTCATCATGTTTATCAGGTGAGTTAGGGAAACATCTTCATTGTCTTCAGAGAAAACATTTTCAGTGTCATTGCTTACACAAACTGCACTCATTAATCCCTCAATTAGTTTGAGCATATTTCTTACACTTTGATAGATTTAGAAAATTAAAAATGAAGGAATAGTCTAAAATCCCTAAAATTTAAAACCTTTTATCATTGAAAGAATATGACTAAACAATAACAAATAAAATTTATAAATGCTTGTCATTTCTATTTGCTGTACTGTGTCTCAAATCCTTAGCATGTATCAAAGAACATGAGATGACTTTCAGATAAGGTTTCTGCAAAGGAAAACCTGTATCTTGAAACATTGTCATAAAAGCATATATACCCACACACTGAATGCAAAAACTTTCTTAAAGCTAAAAAGAAAGCCAACAAGATTTCATGTTAACTTGTCCATGATTATTAATAAAACTGGGAAAAGATGGAATTGAGTGAGAATGGTTCTTTATTTATGACCTATGTAACAGCAGCAATCTGGACTATATTAATGGTTGCTATGATAAGCATATCTGCTCACATTAATTTGGAAAAATTATAATGCAGTTTGAGATGATTTTATTTGGAATTTTTTTATCTGCAATTTTTAAATAGAACTTTAGGCTATTTTGAAGACATTTTTCTTTTAGATATAACTACAGAAATTTTATACATTCCAAAACATCTTGGAAATATCTTCAAGCTAACAAAGGGAACAAGTGCTGTTTCTCCAGCAATGATGATTACTAATGAATTAAATTTTACATAAAGAATATATCATTCTATATTTTGACATGTATCAGCAGTCAGTTGATTATGTATATGAGCATTTGTGCTCATGCTTATTTTTGTATATGTTGTATATTTTTAGTATGTTTAATATTCCCCATGAATGTTTTGGAACTTCAAAATTATCAATTCTATTGTTTATGACATGTAGATATATGAAATACATGAAAGAGTTGACTTGCTTTGTTGTATAAATTCATTCTGTCCATCAAATGACTTAGAGCCATTAATTAATGTAAAGACTATTCTATATTTGTAATATTACCAAACAATAACTACCAAGATAGTCTGAAGGAAGTAAAAGTCAAGCTTATTTTAAAGCATAAGGTAGAAAAGTATCCATTTTATTTGAATATTTTCACATTTAAGAAATGAATAAAAATATGATTAAATGATACAAGATTCATTGCTTAGAAATTTGATTATCTTCATGTTGCCTCAAGGATTCATTATTTTATCCTTCTGTCATATTTATCAATAAGAATTTCAGAAATGTCTAACAAAACTTAGAATAAGATAAAGTTTTGAAGACTAAACTGTTTTCCCATCTATTTCTGACTATGCTTGATTAATGTAAATAATCATTAATATATATTGCATATATAAATACACACACACACACATATATATATTTACTAAAATTTTAGCACACGGCCTGCTGAAATGTAAGTCAGGAAGATTGTATGGCACATATCTTGACACTCACCATTAGAAATATTATTTTTTTTAATTTAGCCATTATGTCATTGGAAAATCTAATAAAAATGTCAGATTAAAAATAAATCCATTAATTCTTTAAAAATTGTTTCAGATACAAAACTGAGCAGATATGAAGCTTTTGAGAAAATAATCAGAGTGAAGAGGGTGTGTAGTTTCCTTTAAAAGAGAAAATAGAACCTTGCTTGCCATTACATTCTTTATGGCTAAGCAATAAAGCATGCTGGATCAAACAGTGGTTTGCCTTAGAAAGTTTCTAGAATATGCAGGCTGATAGACGCAATAGACACTGTTCAATAAATAAAAATGTGGTGTCTATTTCAAATATAAAATATCCACTATAATAACATTTGAAGTAATAAAAATGTAGGATTAAAAATAAATCCATTTCATATATATATATATATATATATATATATATATTGTACCCAGAAAACTGAAATTTGGCACCAAGGTACAGCCTTTCATGATGCTAAAATGTACCTGTAAATTTTCAGTACTTCTTTGTAAGTGGAACAATTGTTTTTTCAGATTCTATTGAATTTTAGCTTATTTTATTTAAAATAAAGATTTAAACAGATTTGAATATAAATTATGACTTTTTCTCAGTTAATTGAATAAATAATGAAATAAAAATGTTCATGGTGGATTAATTTGGGCATTCAGATAACTTGCAGCAGAATGATAAAATTATGTTCTTTTATGTCTTCATGAATTAGAAGTAGATTTTAAGAATAGTTAGTGATCACTCTTTATAAATGGAACATGAGTATACAGGACCATATTTTATTGTAGCCTGTAATTTACAGGGTCATGTGTATAGTTATTAATAAATACTGAATTTGCATTCTTATGTATGTATGGATATTTATTTTTTAACTTATGTATGTACAGTGAGAGGCAAATTTCATTTAAAATAATATTCACTTTTTAAATACTGAAACAAATATTTTTTATAATTAAAACTTATAATATGATCTTGGGTATGGAACAAATATACACATTCATTTCATTATTCAATACAGTTACATTATGAACATAACAAAATAGGCAAGAACAAAATTATTCATACACTTCAACTAATAGTCAATAGTAATAAAAATCATATGTAAGCATTCTTTATTCCCATCTCCTATACCAACAATTCAACGTAAACTTATTCTATCTTGCATGGTATAAGTACATTTTTATGATCATTACAGTAACATTTACATAGACTGATGGTGTAGCAGTGGGTGTGCTGCTCAGCCCTACTTTAACTAATTTCTACATGCATAATTTAGAAAACAAAATGTTTACTAATATTATCAAACCTCCAGTATGTGTTCAATATATTGATGACATATTACTAGCAAATAACTTTAAAGAAACCTTTGAGGAAAACTTTGTTCTACACTTTACTTATGAAGTTAACATTAAAGCAGAATCCCTTTCCTTGACATGTTTGTGGATGCTAATAGTTACAGTTTTAATACTTCACTGTATAAAAAAAACACAAACTCCTAAGTAAAAACTTGTTTCCTTAATTAAAAAGTGAGCGTCTTCACAAATACAAAATAACTGTTTATAAAAATATTAACTGAACAAAAAATAATTTCTTCTCCACATGTTATTTTATAAAAAACAGAGCAACATAAAACAAATGCTTATCAACAAGAAAATAAATTAGCTTTAAAGAATTTCCTTGCAAAATTACTATTAATACAATGTGACATAATTTAAAAATAAAATAAATATTTCATATATATATGAGAGAGAGATGTAAACAAATGGATATTAATAAAAATCAGATAATATAAAAAAAAATAATTTATTGAATAATTTATTCAATTTGGCTCAATTATTTTCAATTACATTGTACTTTATAAATAAGATGTATGTGGGTGTCCAAGCAACTCCTCCACTTACACTGGTTCAATTTCAATGATTCATTCAAAAACTCAAGAAAAGTTAGGTGCAGGTACGATTTTTGTTGAGCTCAAATTCAAGGTTGCCAAATTATGTAAAGTTAAAAATATATATTAATATATTATACTAGCTATTATCGTTGCCTTCATGGTTCAAGAGGAGTAACTCTTATTTTCCTTTTGTATCCAAAATTGCAGTGCATGTTTTATTATAAACTAGCTTAAAAGCTGCCCTATAAGTTCAACGATCATTCTTCTGCCACCACTTAATTTAAAGACTATTTGATGTACACAGATCCTTATTTTCCATACAAACAATTATTTTTATTTCATGGGTGACAGAACAGGGAACAATTTATAAGATAAAATTAATATAGTGTAAAGATGGGAAAATAGAAATTAGAATTAGTTATACATTCAACATTTGAAGAGTTAGAGAAACATAATAGCTAATTAAGTAAAACCTATATTATGGACTCTATATGAATAAATGTGAAATTGGAGCTTAGTTCTTCTACAAATTCTGAGATTAAAAAGCGCCAACTTTACTTTATCGTGGGTATTTACTTGTCCCTCCTGCAAGTACCGATCCCTCTCTCTGGTGCAATGAGAGGCTGTCACCTCAGGCATCTGTTCCCCAGGGCTGGACACCTCACAGTGTGATTTTCCTCAGATGCACCTCTGTCCTCTGACCGAGCTACAACTAAGTCGCACTCTGCCCAAAGACAGAGATGCAACTGAGAGATGATAAATAAACGTGAGAACTCTACTTTATAGTAATTTCTTTTTATTTCTGATGTTACAGAAAGTGTGGGACAAGGCTGAAGGGGAAATAGGGAGAAGCTGGTCTTTGTTAGCTATCCTAGTCTTAGTTAATCTGACTCACAACCCATTCATTCATTCATTCATTCATTAAAATTTGCTCATTCACCACAAGAACTTATCCATCACCACTCTATCCTGCATATACGACAATACTGTATATTCATGGGACCTACAAAACACCCCATGACATAAAAATTTGTAAGTCCGTTTTTGACAAAAATATATAAAAATTTCATGATTCATGAAATGATGGGAGATGAACCTAGAAAACAAACTAAAAATGTACCACAAAAATAAAAATAAAACTGAACAATGTTAGTAGAACCCATCCACCCCTCAAAATAAAAAGAGTGGCCACAGATATATATTCATTTAACTTGGCTGTGAAGGAAACTTACCAGCTCACTATCACAATATTAAGGAATCATTCTACTATCATTATAAAGTAAATATCTGGGAATATCTATAAGGTTCATAAAGTTTCCAATCATTTAATATTAATGAAACACTAGCTTACCTTAGGTAATGGTGCTTTAGTCTCCTTCAAAGTACTCTCTTTGTGACCTCATACATTTATTTCAGTGTCCCATTTTTCAAAGCAGTTTTCCAAACTCTCTTTCAGGATTGCCATCAGTTGCCATGTCACACTTTCATAAATCTTCCCTGATGTTTCAATGGTGATTTTATTTTGGGAAAAAAACAGAAAACACAAGGATCCAAATCTTCACTGTAGTAGTAGAGGAGATTGGCTTGGGTGATGGGTTGTTTTACCCACATCTCTACATGTGAATGTCACACAGTATGTAAACTCATTTAGTGGAGTCTCACTGTTGACTGTGTAACCCATGTGAGAGTATATGTTCATGCATGCCCAATACACAGTAATCATAAACTAGACAAAAAAAAATTATAAGAAATCTAATACATAGATATATATCACCTAACAACAAAACCAAACTAATTCAACTTCTCACTTATTACAAAAAAGATAAACCTCCAACATGATCACCAGTGATACAACAACAAAATTCAAAATGCTTATTTATGAATTTGTTTGACCATTTGGAGAATGCTTCTATAAAAATAATGATGATAATAAAAAAACACCTACATTGGTTTCACAACTACAACATTATTGTGCTGATTAACATACCATTTACCTGATAATAGTTCAATTAAATGGCATATGACTAACACAACAAAAAAACACAAACAATCCTTCCCAATAACATGAGAATACTATAAAAACTATAAAAAATCACTACAAATATTAGAAGCCTTGAGCATAAAAAGCAAACAACCCAACATCAATAAAATGTTATCAAATTGAGAAACAAACACAAAATATATGGAAAGGCATAATAGTAGAAACTGTCATGTGATGATGTAAAAACTCGATATTTGAAAATCATGAAATCAACATAGCACAAAAAACAAAATACATTGATAATGTCATATGAAAGCTGAAAGTACTCAGATGTTGGGCAATTTTGATTTAAATATATAACCAGGAAAATAGTCAAAAATATAGAAAAATAAATTAAAAAAATCATTAAAATGGCAGTCTGTTTCATGCTTAAATTCAATCTTCAGGCCTGAAACAGACTGTCGATGTTGACCTCAGTGTCCACTTTTATATATCTTTTATTTTATTGTAACACTCCATTCATGATATTGTGCACTTTTACCCATAAATATAGCATACCTTAAAACTATATTTTTGTTTTTTATATATATATATATATATATATATATATATATATGAGAGAGAGAGAGATAAGATACATATGCTTATATGTATGTATTACATGTTTTATTAGGTAACTTGTAAAACATGATCAGATTACGTAATTAATTCTCAGGACCTGATTCACCCTCTTTTAAGAACTTGTGCTACAATGTGAACTATTGGAGGAATAAATGTGGATATTTAATCAAGCTTTAATAGTTAATCATTTACATGAAACTATAAGATATTACAACATAAGCTACAAAATAAAACAAGAAATATCATATTTTGAAGAGATAAACTTCACTCTTTATTTGGTATTATCTCCAACTCAGAAACTGACTATCCTTTCATTTTCCTGACCCCAAATTTCTGACAACATTGTTATTTTTAACTAAATATTTTTAATTATTTCAAATGATTCAATATTAGATTCTAATCCCTTTATACTGTTTTTGCTGATAGACCCATAAAAGCCAACAAGAATAAGTCTTCTTGGTTTTATATTCATTGTTAATTATTTGTTTTAATTTTTTGGTGGGGAAGAGTCAGTTAATATCACAATGTGGGTAGTATTTCTTTGTGATTACACTTTGGATGCCATTCTTCTGCCTTCATTAGCAGAGATATTTGTCTAAATGATTCCAGTTTCAGAAAATCCTTTATCAAATAAGTCACCAGAAAACAGGAAAGTTTGTGACAACAAAAGGTAAGCTTGTATGTTGCTATATCTCTGATATGTGTGTGTATATATATGTTCAAAGAAAAAAAAGAAGAGTAATATTTTGTTCTTCGTAGTGAATGCTTGTCACTTTAAAAATATGATTGTTTCTTGTATCTTTTTTATTATTTTATATTTTTTTACAGTGCCTGCCTATGGTTAAAGTATGGTCTTCTGCGCAGGGTATATTCCATTGTATTTGTCAATTCAGTTGCAGCTCTATTACAGAGCATGTACATGTGTATTTATTATCTATATAGTTTACAGAGGGTAAGTATTAAGTTTTCATTTGTATTTCTTATATATCTTACATTTACATTATGGATTGATGTACAAGGCTTTTTAGTGATAAACTTGGTATATTTATAAAGTCAAGTTTTTTTTTTATTTTAGATAAAATAAGGAACAATCTTTTTATAGAAAAGTGTTAGTAAATTTTTGGCTTGTCCCTTTTTCCTCCTACAAACGGATTACCAGTCTACAATAATACTAACATTGAAGATCAAAGATCACTGACAAGCATGACAGATCAAACCAATTGTTCATTACCTTCACTCCCACTTTTTACATTGTATGGATTCATTCTGTAGCAGTACTCGGGAGATAAGTCAGACAAGGAACAAAAAAGGGGGGCAAGAAGTGAACATGAACAATGATTCTGATACTAAATTCACTGTACATAAAAAACAGTGAGTAATAAAGTTGTAGCTTTCTCACTGGTTAGCAAAAATATCTTCATTTTCTTTCAAGACTTACAAAATAATACAAAAATGTTAAAATTTTGGAATGTGTGATGACCATTGAATCATCTTTTGAGAGAAAATTATGATAAATAAGTCTCATTGAATTCACTTCCTTGCAACTCCTACTTTATTTATATTATGTGAAAAAGGGAGAGTTTTTTTTTTTTTGTTTTTTTTTGCAGCTAGATTTTTTATACATATACAAATAAATAGTACCCTATAATTAGCATTTAATAGTTACCTCCCTTGAAAAATTCTTTTTTTGTCTCTTCTGCTGAGTGAAAATAAAAACTCAACAATATTATTCAATTACAAATCACCCAGATATTTTTTGCATACTTTAAATTATCACATTTTAGAGGTGCTATAATTTACTGCTTCTAGCAACAATTCATTCGTTTCAGATATGTAGAGACGTAATGGAGAATCGGGTCAACTTGACAAGAGGCCCAGAGTTGTGAGTGGTGCAATAACCACCAGGAGTTACTTTTCCACAATTGGCTGTTAATAGAGGACATTCTACTTACAGTAGGTGGCACTGACAAAATCCACATACAAATGATAATGGGCAGGTATTAGCCAATAGTCAGCATGGGTCTGGGGACTGAGAGAGCTATATAACACCAGCTTTTTCTCAGTCATGAAAGGCACTCTCGATGTGTAGACATGTGGAAAACCAGAAAAGACAAACACAAGCTATTTCGGCAAAACTTTCATCTGCGTCAAGTCTGACTTATCCGTGTTCAACTGCTGTTGGCACAGAATCCTTCTCTAATTCAGTCTTCAAGATCTTCCATGCTAACACAGATAAACAAAATCAGACTTTTTATATTAGTTGAGGTACACATAATAAAGATACTGTTTACATTTTATAAGCTTGGAAAAGATTCAGATCACAATCAACATATTGGGATAAAACAAAGATTAAATGTTTAGAAGTTTTAAGGATAAATTCTTGTGTTAAAGTAAAAATATACTGACCAATAGAGCTTGATGTTTACAAAGTGCTTAAGTGAAAAATATGTTAAGATCAATGATCAGTCTCATGTATAAAAACTGAACTTTGTATATATTGTGACATTTAAGCTTGTATATGTTTGCTATTGACGGTATCTACAGAGTGTAAAAACTAAAGTAGGGAAATATGTCATATTCAGTTTTTTAACTGTTAGAAACTTTATGTAGAAAACATGAAACCTCTCATTATTTCATACATCATATTTATACAGAAAATATTTTATGGGTTATTAAATTCTATAAATTGGTTTAAAAAGTCAAAACCTTGATTATTTTCATATATAGAATTGAGATTTGTTAACAAAATATTTTTTTAAATGGTTATTTAGAATTAATTTGGACATGTCATATTTTCCAGTTAAACCCTATTGTAATGAAATTTGAATCTTTAATTTTTTGTATATTTTTACATGTTTTTTTTTTATGGTTAGGCAAAGTATATAATTATTAATCACACTTTGTAATGTTATTTTCATCTAAAATCCCTACTCTTTCTCTTTGTTGTTCTTGCTTTTTATCTATTCTTATATCATTGATTTTGTTCCCAATTTCATGATTAGTGACTATATTTTTCATTAGCAAAAACATTTTTTGTCAGTATAATGATCAATAAAAATGTTATATTAATTCTCAATATTGTTGTGCTTGTCTTCTTTTAGGCACATCTCCACCGAATGTTGACCATAGGATTGCTGTTTTTATTCATTCCTCTTGTCTACATTAAATACTATGTGCCTGATGAATCAAGTGCCATTAATCTCTTAGGGACCATATGCTGCTGTATAACTGTCATATCATACGGTTCTCCACTTGCCTCAGTGGTAAGTACTATATACTATACATATTCAGTATATTTTTCTTTTTTTCATTAAAAATATTTTTAAATTTTGAAAAATATGAGGTTAGGAAAAATTGAAAAAAAGCATGTTTGGGTAGTAACTAGTCTATTTCCACTGTTTTTCTTTACCTTTCCGTAAATTTAATGATGCTTACATATTTTAGGCAATAAACTAATATTATGTAATGTTATTACAAAATAATTATCTTTTTGTAGTCTAATACCATTTGATCAGCAGTGCATTATAAGTGAAAATTGTAAAATACTTTTATAAATTTTCTCCTATATATGGAAATTTAAGAATTTGTAAACCTTAGAAAACTTTATATCTAAACATTAAAACTTACTATAACTATTTAAAATTCTATGACGCTTTGTCTTAATAAACTTTGTTATTAATGTGGAGTTTCTTTTTTGCTTGTTTCCATAATGAATAATTGTGTCTTTCAGGCCCATGTAATTAAGACCAAAAGCACAGAGTGTATGTCTTTTTCACTGACAACTGCCAACTTCATTGTTTCTCTTGAATGGTTGTTTTATGGATCTTTGTTAAAAGATGTATATGTCCAGGTAAGCCACCAATTCTAACATGTAATTAACAAAATGTCCAATTGCATCTCAATCAAATCAAAGACATATTTAATCATAGACACTTTTGTTAAGTGTTAAAAAATTGTTACAAAGAGAAAAAAAAAGCAGATAAACTCCAGCAATTTTCAAAATGCCTTATTTCATCAATGAAATATAAATGATGTCATAAAGATGGTTTAAGGTATCTAATTTGATAATAAAAAACAAGCAATGACATTTTAAGAGAGGAAATAGTATGTGAATTTTACTCTGGAAAATAAAGAAAATCTAGCAAAATTCAAATATATTACCAAGTTTACAATTGATTTTCTTTTGTTTCTTTTTCAGATGCCAAATATGTTTGGTGCTCTACTTTGCCTTATACAATTTGCCCTTTTCTTTAAATATCCTGCAAAACCTCGGCCGATCACGTCCATTACCACTTGAGCTTAATTGCACTGCAAATGTTTATGATGATTCCTGCCAGCTCTTGGCCAAACCAAAGGAGATGAGGAAATTTCCTTTGCATTCTACAAAACTAATGCCTATAGTTGGCAACAGAACATTACTATTCTGCATGTAAAAATATTATTTTCTCTTAAGATTGTCTGCGATTCATAATCTAAGATAGTCTTTGCAAATTTTAATTTCAAGAGATGATTTAAAGCATTGAAAGAATTCTTATTTCACTGCATCTATTCATATATATATATATATATATATATATATATATATACACACACACACGTTGAGAAAACTCTAATTAAGAAAAGCAATTCAATTTGCACCAAGCCTATTCTATTCTCATTAAAGCCATCAATTTATTGTGAAATAATTCTCTTTCACTGCTTTATAATATTGTTTGCTGAAAAATCTATGGTACTTAATAATTATTAAGGAATATTTTAATGCAGGGACTAATACAGATTTATCACCATTAAGAGACCAATATTATAAATTGTGAATCTGTAATATTGATACCAACACTGACATTTTTTTTCATTGTGAACTGTACAAATACCAGGTAGTTGCTTTACCAATGCAAAAATTTCCCTTAAATACTATTTTTGAAGAAAATATTTTGAAAGGATAGGTTTTACCTTTATATAACTTTCAATTAAACTTGGCTGAAAAAGACACTGCTTTACATTATAATAATTTATTTATATTATTTTCTTAAAAGCACATTTTACATCTGAAAACTATAAAATCTACTCACCTATTTTAAAATTATAAATACTAGTAACATGTAATCCTTAATAGTATATTCAAAATATATAAACATTGGCTAAACTGCTTGTATATTTGATTTGAATATTGTATTTCCCACAGAGCAGAGTTTAAAGGGAAGAGGATTGTCACTGCAGAAAAAGGAGAATCATTTATATTCCAAACAATATGTCAAAAACAAAAAAGATCTAATTGGGCAAAGTTTATATGGGTCTTTTAATATTAGTTAGGCCATTTTGTTTACCAAAACTTTTCAGACTACTCAATTGGAATGGAAAACTACTGTGATAAAGTTCACCTGAAAGCAGGTACCAAAACCAGGGATATAACCCAAATCTGAAACTTTTGTCTTAGGGAAATACATCATGTTTGATGTCACAATGACTACCAAAGTGCCTTGAATTCTGAAGAACTTAAATGATTTTTTTAATATTTTTCTTTTAGAAAATGACTGAAATTGTGAAAATGTCAGTATTAATTCTTATTTTCAGCTTATGAGATTATCCAGAAATTCTTTTGCATCTGGCATTTTTTGTGTGTCTAGCAAAAGAGGCAAGATGGATATCTGTCCACTTTGCTAATATGGGATCATTGCCATCAGCTAAAATCTTTGGGTTTTTTTGTTTTAATTTTATATCAAATAATTGAAATGTTTTTGTTAACAGGAATTAGACTCAAAATTTAACTCTTGTGAGTTTAAAGCAAACAAAATAGTGCTTTTTTTATAAACTTTTCTGGCCTCTATGATTTGGTTAAAACAATATTTGTTCATTTTGGAAATTATGAACATGTGTAAATCTTGTTGCTAATAATAAATAGCAAGTTTTATCTCTAACAAAGATTTCATAAACATAAATCAGATCAGCCATTTTAATATCAAATGTGTTTCAAGACAGCTGACTCTCCAATTATACATAAAATCTGTCTTGTTGAACTTTTCTAAATACTCTATTACAGTGCCTTATTTTTACACTTTCCAAAAAACAATGAAATCTGTATTAGCAATAGTTACATTTTATAATTAATTCCTTTTTCTAAAACGTGTGGAATAAAATGAATTAGGAATTTATATTAACCAAATCAATTCCTTCATTGTATCTTCCTCTGACTCTCATTACAATATAAAGATATAATCTAATAGAAAACATAATTTAATTAATACATTAAAAATAGAAATATAATCTACAGAAAAAAAAATTATGGTCATTTGATTTTCATTTTTTGCTTCTAGTGATATAAATTTTTAAATAAGCTTTGATATACTTAAAATATTCCTGACAGTATTATCCAGTGTATTTGTTGTATTTTCTAATCTTTTAATAAATGAAATCTATGTATCATAGAAATGATACCTACCTCTAAAAATAGGTTAAAGATTAGCATTGTTTTCATTAATTTTTAAAGAAAGTTGTAAATAATGCATAGCAATATAGATTTTATGAAAGATCATCACTGAAAGAAATGAATATTTATGTCTAATTGGTGAAATGCTGTGAAACACTTTTACAATTAAGACATTTAATAAATCCTTTGGATTAAATGTAAAGTCAACTTTAAAAATAGTTTTAGTGAAATTTGCTGACAAATGATCCTTACAGGTCTGAATTGATTACAAGAAAACCATATCATTTTTTAAATAGAAAAGTAAATAAATTTTCCATTTTTGCTTTAGTTAGATTTTTTGTTTAATATTATTTGAATAAAATATAAAGATTTAATTCAGATAAACTTAGTTGAAAGTCACATTTTCTTGAAAATCTATTACACATAAAAATTGCTTAAATGGTTTGTTCACCATGCAAACAAATATAAAATAGATTGGTTTAGTGTAAAGAGAATGAGTGAAAGAGGAAATTTAGTTATATATATATATGTGTGTGTGTGCGTGTATTTTCTAAAACTTGGCTATTTTTTCAGTTTGAATGCAAAATAATAGATTCATAGTTGCTAAAATTTAGTAAGTTGTCTTAGCTTAGCCAATTTGACTGCATGTGTAATATGTTGCTATGAAAAATATAGATTGTATAGATATAAAAATTATCTAATTTATCAAGGCGCAAAACTCCTTTGAAGTCAATCTATTTTTTATCATCAATATTTTGTCTTAGGCTAAAAATGTGTGCTCAATGTAAAATATTTAATATTTAAAAATAGTTCAAAATTCCTTGATCTTCATATTTTCTTAGGAAGTAAAAATAACATACTCTTGATATAACTATTTATTTATTAAAAAGTATCTATTGCAGATTTTATCTGCATTTTTCTTTTGTTGGTATCTAGTGACCTTCAGATTGTTTGATCATGGTTTGTCTTACAAGTTATAGATTAAATTGTTAAGTTTAGCTTAAGAATATTGTTTGAAGAAAGGAAATTAAATCTTTGATCTGGTTCTTTTAGTGAGACATGGATGAATAACTTTTGAGTAATTAGATGAAAATTGATATATTAGATGAATAGAATACTGAATTTATTACATTGATGGAAATTTCCTATAAATAATTTTATTACTCTCATGAAAATGATGGCAGACTATCATATTTGTCCAGATGAATATAAAAGCCATATTTTCAAGGGACGTTTTGCACATTATATTTTTCTGAAGTAAGTTAGCACTGCACAAATATTTTAAGTTAGAATAATGAAATATATTTTTAATTTTTCAAAAAACATAACTGAAATATAAAAGCAGATTTCTATTAATTTGCAAATTATGAATTTTTAAAAGGTAACAAAGAAAACTGATAATAATTTAAGGGATTAAGTTTGATATTCAAACTCTGTCAACTAGATTTTATTGACAACTTCCACTTGTTCTATTTCAGATATACAATCTACTGGACAAAAAATTATCTTTCCATGAAAGAGTTATTACACATCAAAAATAAATAAATCCTTCATTTGCTATGTAAAATGCTAGAATATGGACAAAACCAGAACAAAGACATTACTTTCATTTTTGTTGTGTTCCGTCGGTCTCTAGCATTAAACGGCATAAAATGTTTGCTAATTGACCAAATCTATTTTTTAACTTGTTTGTAAATACATCTCCATGAAAATGAAGATGATTGTCCTGTCAAAGCTATTTTTATAGTTTTTTTATTATGAATTTTTTCATTAACACCTCTTTTTTTTTTCCCTACCCCCATCAGTCTTCAATGATTATTTGTTATATAAATGTAATATATTATTATTTGCCTACCAACACTTTATCTGTAAAACTCTATTCTATTTCTTCATATAAAAATGATATGCATGTGGTACCAAAGTGCGATCCATCTTCATGATCTCATCTTACTTGTCCACAAACATTTGCTGCTGCTACTGCTGCTACCATTACAAACCAATCAATAAAATAATGTGTTCAGTTCAAATAAAATTCACCAACATTTCTCTTGACAATTTTCAGCATTAAAATATTTTCAGCATATTGTGTTTTGCTTGTTTTTCATTTGTATACTGGTCTTGGCATGCTAAACTACACATTCCAAAATCATTACAATATTTTCATAGGGCACTTTTCTTTGTACTCACAGGATATATCAAAGTAACAAAAGTTGGATATAGCAACAAGTTTTGTGTTTTTGCAAAGCATTTGTACAACTGGAAAATTCACTGTTGTAAATATGGTGTTGATTAATTTTTTATGAATATTACAGTACCTTAATGACTTGACCAGTGAATATTTATTAGTTTTAAACTGTAATTTGGCACAAGACCAGTGCAGGAGTAAAGTATAGGCAGCTCCTGCATTAACTATCCTATTCTTATCTAATATATCTTATTTCTTCAGTTTTGTAACCATAAAAATGTATCAATTTATTTCTTACCATTCGCCAAAACACCTTTTTCTCCATGAAAGTCATACCATCTCCCATGATGATAGTATACACAATTGATATTCTTAAATTGCTTGGGTAATCCACATACATGAAGCACACACATATAATTTTTTGTGTATATTTTCAGAGTATACATATACATAATTAATCTGTTTCTTATGGGTACTATGCTACAATATACAATAATGTATTTCATAAGGTGGGAGCAAAGCTTTTTAAAAAAGTAACATAATTATGGAAAAAAAGTTCTTAAATATTTGAAAGTTACCTATATTTTAACCATGTGTAGGTCTTAAAGGGAACTTCAGTGCTTTCCGACATAACTTCTAGAAAAATATCTTCAGTCTTTTATATATATACACACACACACACACCGGG